CATGACTCCATGAGTGTATCATTTGTATCTTTCTGACAGTTGCGAATTTTTGAATCCTACCTCAATTATTTTTACAGAAGATACGGGGGTGTAACCATAAGAAATGTGACACACTGAATATATTTTTGCGAATATATCTGAAATTGTGGAAGGAAAAGGTAGGGTTATGTATATATTTGTAATGAGAACGTCTGGGACTATTCAATTGTGCCAAAATATACGGGGTGTTCCATTAGAAAAAACATAATTGGCTGCCGTATCTTTTCAACGTCACCCTGTATAAAACTTCTGATGATGCCAATGGATTCCACGCATCATACTGTATAAATATACGTTCGAAATTTTTTGATACCTCTCACCGTAAAGTAGTCAGAAAATAAAATCGAAATCGGCAAATTTTCAATTTCCCCCTGTATCTCTAAAACGAATGAAGATATCGAAATTTTGATTAAGCCATTCGAGGTTTCTCCAAAATCGAACCCGGAACATGTATATCGGTTTTTCGATAACTCCTCTAGTTATTGAGATAGACGGTGAAAACGCCCAATTTTGCCCACCCTGTACAACTGAGTAACCTACAACAGCAATGTACCGAGAATTACCTAAGCAGTAACAGTACTTGAGATTTCAGATAAATATAGATTTGTGGATATTCCAGGAGGGAGCTGATTATTACTGTCGACTTTTAGAATCGGTCATCACGTTAGTCAGTTTAGTTAGGTCTTTGTGCGTTCTACTCGACAACCCTCTCCGAAATGGCTCTATATATAATATATTGTAAGTATCAAGTACTATTCGACCATTTTATATATTGTATGTCGTATCTATAATGATTCCTCTTCTATACGATGATAATCTAATAAATGTATCTATGTTTTGAAGATGGCTTTTACTACTTCTCATACCCCTTAACTATAAGTGTCTTGAGTTAATATAATCTACCCTATCTGAGCTACCCTCAAAGATGATTCAGTAGTTCAATATCCCATCAGGAAGCCAAGGATCGTGACATGTAGTCAAAGGTATCATGAGACTATACCATTATACTGAGAGAACTTCGCGGATATAAAGCGCAATCCGATATCGCCCTCGGTGCTTCAGAGAAATTTACACCTTTCGGGTGATAATACGATTAGGGACTCTCTATGTGCTCTAACAGCCTAATGAATGAGAATATGGTGGGTAAAGAGCTAGAAAAGTATGGAAAACCATGGTCTTGAATCGAAATCGAAATAACATTTTTTGGTCCTGCATGTCACCATCACCTCCAGTCTACTGTGGGTCTGCCTTAAGGCAGTCTGATTCTATTCCTACAACGCATTCAAAATAGCTGCTTACGCTCTTCCTTTGGGGTCCGCACATTTGACATTTGATTTCTATGAGAAAATCAGGCTGGCTGAGACTAGAAGAGCTCAGAAGATTACACCTGCTGACAAACACTCATGAAGTTTTAATCACAGGAAAGCCTGTGTATCTATCGAGCAAACTTAAAACTTTTTCGAATATAAATAGGTTCGCAACACGCAACAGATCAGTCTTAGTCATTCCCAAGCACAAGTCAACAATTTTTACACGTAATTTCTCTTATATAGCTCCGAAACTATACAACTCGCTTCCCAGTGTTCACGATCAAAAACTTCAAAAAAAGGCTGAAGTCGCTTCTCCTCTTATGCGGTATTTGGCCCACTCATCATGATATGCGACTATGGCTCTCTATATATAGTATAGGTTGGCTTAATTTGTATACAAAATTTTGTTTCTCAAAAACATGATAGTCTAAGACTCCTTTTTGTATTTCTCTCATTTGATTTTGGTTATTGTAAATGTACTTTCAAGGTTGAGTTTAAAAACAGCGTAAGCTGACACTCCGCCCTTTCACTTTGATCCCACTTCGACTCACAAAATTTATTGTTTCCTCATTGTGCATTGTGAATAAAGACGCTTCATTATTATTATTATTATTGAATAACATGCCATATACATATTTTGTTGCACATTTGAGTGCTATATAATAATAATCCAAACTATGAAAGATTTATATCATGGTTGGGATATAAGTTGATTCTTGATAAATTCTTAGTTTCTGTTTCTTACTATTTGTATCATCCCCAAAAATGAAGTGGTGGGGGAATGTCGAATTATGTTTTTCTAAACGTCTGTAACTCTGGTTCTCTTCAACAGAATTCAACAATCTTGTGCTCGTTATACATATAAAGGCCTCTTCCTGTTCTCATCAATTGTGATTTAGAGTATCAATGGATATCGTGATATAAAAAAAGCTATAGTATGCATATTTATTACACGATGGAATAGAAAAACTAAATCTCAACAGACAAGTACGATTGATGAAATCCGTTCTTAGATGTTTACCCTGTACATGACCCTCGTTTCTGTTTCAGCAAACATCTGAATGAGTCAAAGGAAGGAAGGAATGGTCGAAGTTACCCCCACAAATTAAAAAAAAATTGTGGAGATGACTTCGAGCATTCCTTCCTTCCTTCGAAAAATGTCACTCCACATTGAGCAATATGGAGCTGTTCACGATTGAAATAAGTATTCACGTTATTTTTTTTGTTCATTGTATTTTGTGTCTGGAAAGTTGAATTCCTCGCGAATCGATCTGGCAACAGAGCGTTGTAGCCGCATGGGGGTTATAGAAGTGCAGGTGAAGACGCTAAAAAGGTGTCGATTATTAATCAATAGTAGTGATATAGAAACAGTTTGTGGTCTCTACAGTGTGTCCCACTTACCATGCTCACCATGGGTATCTCTTTAACGGTGAGAGATACGAGGTCGGTTAAATAACACCAAATGTGGAGTTTGTCAGGGCCAACTATAATGTGAAAAAATATTTTGTTAAAATCTATTCGTTTTTGTTTTATACACAAAAAACAGATTTTGATCATTTTCATGTCTCCTCCATAACTTCTTTATTTATAAAAATATTCAAATAGGAATTTCACATTCTCATGGCAGTTTTTCAAAGTGATTTCGAAAAAAATATGAAATTTATATCAATTCTTCTAGAATTTGAGATATCAGCATCAACTTTAGTTTTTCAAATGTAGGTCATAGCTCACTATGACTCAGTTACAAATAACTTTGTTTTCTCTTACAGATGATATATCGCAGTAAAAGTTTTGTGTTGATACCAACAACAACAACGGAGTTATTATCATTTATACAAAAACAAAAAATTATTTTGAAGCCGCCATCTCGAATTTATAAATTTTAACAAAAAAATCATGATCTCCGACCTCGAAAACCCCCACTCACCAACTTTGAATGGAATCGGACCAAATCTTGTCCGCCATCTTGGAGCAGCAATTTTTTTTAATTTCAACAAAAATTCCATAATGTATTGTCACCGAAATTATGAACACCTGCCAAATTTCAAGGTAATCGGAGTTATGGAATTTTTGTTGAAATTAAAAAAGATGGCTGCTCCAAGATGGCGGACAAGATTTGGTCCGATTCGATTCAAAATTGGTAAGTGGGGGTTTTTGAGGTCGGAGATCATGATTTTTTTGTTGAAATTCATAAATTCAAGATGGCGCCGGCTTCCAAATAATTTTTTGTTTTTGTATAAATAACGATAACTCCGTTGTTATCAACACAAAACTATTACTGCGACATATCATCTGTGAGAGAAAAAAAAGTTATTTGTAACTAAGTCATAGTGAGCTATGACCTACATTTGAAAAACCAAAGTTGGTGCTGATATCTCAAATTCTAGAAGAGTTGTTATAAATTTCATATTTTTTTCGAAATCACTTTGAAAAACTGCCATGAGGATGTGAAATTCCTATTTGAATATTCTCATAAATAAAGAAGTTACGGAGGAGACATGAAAATGATCAAAATCTGTTTTTCGAAAACGAATAGATTTTATCAAAATATTTTTTCACATTATAGATGGCCTTGACAAACTCCACATTTGGTGTCATTTAACCGACCTCGTATCTCTCACCGTTAAAAAGATACCCATGGTGAGCATGGTAAGTGGGACACACTGTATAAAGGTGTGAGCAATCTCTCAACAATCTCAGAAAACGAAAACTGGCGCCAGTAAATAGATGCAGAGTTAGAAGTATAACCAGGTGAGTGAGGTGATCCGATTTTCTGACAAATACAAATATTCCGAGGCAAATTCATAAAAGCGTTCAATTATAGTGAACAGGAGTTCTACCAAAGATTATCGGCTATAATTGCACGAGTGCATAAAAATTACCGATAATTTTGCAAGAAATCCTGTTATCTAAAAATTGCAAGAGTTTATTTTCCCGAGTCCGAAGGAGGAGCAGGGCTCTTTCGCCAAATAAACGAATGCAATTTGTATAAGATAACACGCTTGAATGCCAAATTGTCTGGTAATTTCCATGCACGACTGTAATTCATTGGAATATTTCACGAAGTAAGGAATTCTATCTGTTGTATTTGGTATTTTTTGGTTCACTTTCATTATTTATACTTTCCTAGATAGATTGTATAGAGCACTCACATTTTTATCACTTTTTGAAGTCCATCTGACATTTATATAACGGGTGCCAGGATGAAGCCAAAAATATGAAACAAATGAATATCCATAAGGATTTGGTGGCATGATACGCATGCGCTATGCGCTATTATAGTAGTCATCAAAGACATGCGTTTCGGTGGACAATGACGTTTACTAGCCTTTCAATCAAAGCAGTATGTGTCTGATCGTTTCAAAACTTGTCCTTATGGATAGTTATTTGTCTTCAAAAATCGGCTTCATGTTTCGCTATGGAAACAGATAGAGATTATCCGTATTGATTATTAATACGTATATGCCAGCGACATGCCTTTATAAATGTGTTGTTATGGCGACGGGATGTCTTCGCAGTGCAATTACCGCTGTAGGTTTTCGATAATTGCATTGCTCTTAAGGGACATTTTATATGGGAGGGAAATATTCTGAATAAGTACTCACGATTCGTGTAGCAAAACACCCACAAGCCAGACACAGTCATCTTAACCAGATAGTCCTTCTCCCCCGTGCCGTTGTACGTCGGATTGGCCATCTTCTCCGCCGTGTGCAGCCACTGATTGGTCGCCACCCCCACCCCCACCAGCACCGCCGACACTGTGGCCAAGACCAGCGTGGCCACCCACAGGCAGCCCAGAGTGGCCTCGAGGCTCGTGGCCCCCCCGTCTTTGCCTCCCATGCCCTCCGAGGATGTGGTTTTCCCGCCGGGAAGGAATTTCAGTCGGAAAACGGATCGTGACTACGTCGAGGGAAGATGGCGGACGCCGTCATGTTTGAGCGGCGGAAATACGAGACAAGATCGATCTGCGGTTTTTTGAGATCGGGCGTCACGAAGATACGAGAAAGCCTGAAACAAGATGTATGGTTCATACGCAATTCGCGAGGATTTGTTAGAATTTATCAGAATTCCTGGGCATTCATGAGGAATGATGAGAATTTATGGGAATTAATGGGAATCTATGAGAATTTATGAGAAATCATGACATGGGAACATGAGAATTCATGAAAATATCTGAAGATTTATGAGAATTTATGAAAAAATATAAGACTTCATGAAATTCAATGAGAATTCATGGAAATTAATAAAAAATCATGAGTTTTTATGAGAATTCATGAGAATGTATGAGAGTTTATGGAAATTTATGAAAATTCATTGAAATTCATGGGTATTTATAAATATTTGAGAATTCATGAGAATTTATAAGAATTCATGAAAAGTCATAAGAATTCATGAGAATTTATGAGAATTTATGAGGTTTTATGAGAATTCATGAGAATTCATAAGAATTTATGAGAATTTATGAGAATTTATGAGAATTTATGAGAATTTATGAGAATTTATGAGAATTTATGAGAATTTATGAGAATTTATGAGAATTTATGAGAATTTATGAGAATTTATGAGAATTTATGAGAATTTATGAGAATTTATAAGAATCTATGAGAATTTATGAGAATTTATGAGAATTTATGAGAATTTATGAGAATTTATGAGAATTTATGAGAATTTATGAGAATTTATAAGAATTCATGAGAATTCATGAGAATTTATGAGAATTCATGAGAATTTATGAGAAATTATGTGAATTCATAGGAATTCATGGGGATATGAAAATGTATGAGAATTCATAGGAATTCATGAGGATATGAAAATGTATGAGAATTCATGGGAATTTATAAGAATTTATGAGAATTTATGAGAATTCATGAGAACTTATGAGAATGTATGGGAATTTATGAGAATATATGTGAATTTATGAGACTGTATGGAAATCAATGAGAGTCTATGAAAATTCATGATAATTCATGAGAGTTCATGAGAATTCATGAGAATTTATGAGAATTCATGAGAATTCATGGAAATATATGAGAATGAATGAGAATTTATAAGAATTTATAGAAATTCATAAGAAATCATGGAAATTTATCAATATATTTATAATGAGAAATGACTTCATCGGCATTTTTTTATCGCCAACCATATTTTTCGAGCGCACTGAGTTTAATGTACGCAAACCTAAGGTGTGATGGTATATTTTTGAATTCAACTTTCCGAAATCCAATATTATACAGGGTGATTCACGGTGGATGGCACATTAGACGTTCCTGGAGAACGCAACTCAGAATTATTCTGAAGAGTTGGTGCCTTGGATAGTTAGTTGTGCTCTATCGACATGAAATATTCTCAGCTTTGCCGCTCATATTGAAAAGTAGCAACAACTTTGATTTTTTGAATGAGACACCCTGTATATCATTTCATTTTCAGATTCTCCCTGAACAGCTGATTCCATCAATCTTCTATCACACTTGGGGTCTAGCGGGAATGATAACAAAGATATAGGGTGTGAAAAATCGAAATTTTTCAACATCAGGCATTTTTTGTGTCGAAATTATTCATAATTGGTCGAAACGGTTCTCATATCCCTATCTTAACTTTTTATGTACAGGGTGATTCACCATAAATGTCCCCCCCTCTAGCTCAGTTATTTTTGTACAGATTTCAAAATTTGAAATATCATCTCGAATGATTTTCGATAAAGTTTTTTTCCGCTACATCAAAAAATACAGGTTGCTCGGAACAAATGATCTACAGGGTACTATTTGATTTTTTTTAATGGAACACCCTATATTTCATTGTATTTTTAGATTCTCCATGAAGAGCTGATTTGATCAATGCATCACACTTGGGGTCTAGCGAGAATGATTACAGAGATATAGGGTGTTCAAAATCGAGATTTTTCAACTTTGGAATTTTTTTGTGACGAAACTGTTCATTATCGGTCAAAACGGCTCTCATGTCCGTATCTTAACTTTTGATTTACTATCTACTGACATTTAATGATTGGAACAGATACAGGGTGATCAGAATTCTGAATCTTGAACCACCCTGTAAATGTTCCAATTAAATGGCTGTAGATAGTAAATCAAAAGTTAAGATGGGAACATAAAAGCCGTTTTGACCAATAATGAATAGTTTCGACACAAAAAAATCTCGATTTTTTGAACACCCTATATATTTCTGTAATCATTCTCGCTAGACCCCAAGTGTGATACATCGATGAAATCAGCTCTCCAGGAAGAATCTAAAAATACAATGAAATACAGGGTGTTCCTTTTGAAAAAATCAAGTAGTACTCTGTAGATTGTTTGTTTCGAGCACCCTGTATTTCCTGATGCAACGGGGAAAAAATTTCTGAAAAATCATTTCAGATTATTTTTCAAATTCTTAAATCGGTTCAAAAATGAGTGAGCTAGAGGGGGGGGGGCATTTATGGTGAATCACCCTGTACTATCAATGGAATCTAATTTTTTAGGTCTGAGAAATACGTGGTATGTTTTGGTGAATACATTTTAGGGAATCCATGTATATGCCTGAAAATGTGTGCTGGGCTAGTTATCAGAGTCGCCTTGTATAAAATCGGAATGGATTATCGACCGTACGAACCTAACGGAAATTTGTAGTTTTCGAAGTAGACCGCATACCGAATAGTCACAAATCACGGTCTATAAAGATATCAGTCGATAGCTCCACTTACAAAATGTTCATTTGGAAACTTCACTTTTTGTTCTGTTCCATCGCCGATTTAGTGGAAACTGGAAATGAGGTCTGGAGACCTGGCGTTCATCTATCGTTATTTCCACTCAGGCAATATACACAGGAGAAAACTCAAGGTTTCCACAACAACCACACTACTAGGTAAAGTTGCCAAAATGGAAGTTAGGCAATAAAGAATTTTATCTACAACTATGGAGTCATTCATACATTGCTATTTAGATTTTCAACATTTAATGACAGACATTGTGATGAATCGAGTAATAAGAGTGATAATGACAGTAGGATGGCGTAATAATCTGACATCCCATCGTCTTGTCAAATTTAACTAGGTAAGTATCCGTTCTACTAGTTCTACTAAAGTACACCACTATAAACTGTTTGTGAAATACACGCAAATTCAGAAGACTCACATTACATGGTTCTCATAGTTTTAATCACCTTAATTCTACAAATACACGGAAAAATGAGAATTCAACAGTGACTACCATCATGAGTGACCATAACCATAAAATAGGACTTGACACTTGACAGTTGCAGATTGGCTCACACTTATGTGCGGGCTATCCGAATAGAATAGTATACAGACCAATAAGAACCATGGAACTTTAATGTTGATAACTAGCGTCTAGAGACAGGGTACTACAATTAATCATCGCGGTGGGGAAATATGCTACAGCGAATGCAAGTTCATGAATAATCTGCAATAGTATGATTCATTTTACAACTGAAAAGTGAAATGGCATATAATACCTTGTAAGATTGACTGATATGTGGTTGCACGACTTTTTTTCCTGTTAATAAAAGTTATATCTAACATCGTTTATCATATTTTCACAATCGGAATTATTGGAATGAGTTTTTTTTATCGCTTGGAGCGCGCGAAAGGGAATCCCTATAATGTTCAAAGAACATCGTGCGTTTCTAGGGAGGATAGGGATAGGAGGTAAGTATTGTAATTTTTTTCGAACTTCTGGAGATTATATGTTGTTGGAAATACTTCCTCAGGCGATGAATTCCAGAGCCTAGCCGTTCTATGGATGAAGGAGTTTTGATAAAGGGCTGTTCGACATCTTTCGAGATTGACAACGAAAGGATGTGCTGACTGGTATTGCTAGTGAAGGGATGATAGCAAAGATTTCCGAAGCACATTTCCCGTGGAAGTATCGATAGAAAAGTGAAAGGTCGCCGACCTTTCTACGGTGTTTCAATGATGTCAAAGAGTGAGTGAGTGTGGCGTCACCCACTAGGCGGATGGTTCTTCTCTGGATGGAATCTAAGAGCATCAGCGTATGTTTTGGTGCTGAACCCCATATGTGGGAACAGTGAACAGGCCATATCTGCGCTTTGTAGATCATGAGAAGCTGTTGAGGTGTGAAGTAGTTTTTCGCAAGGAACAAGAATCCGAGTTTTTGTGAAGCAGCTTTTGCGATGGATCTGACATGATTATCCCATGAAAAAGTGTTGCTGATGGAAATACCGAGCATAGATATGGTGGGCTTAGTGGAGATGGTGGTGCCAGACATTACAATTTCGGGCATACTGAGTTCCGCCTTTCTAGAGAAAATACAGGCTTAAGTTTTGGTGGCGTTGAATTCAACTAGGTTGTTGGTTTCCCAGGCTGTGATTTCAGCAAGGTCTTCATTGACAGCATTGACCTGCCTGCGCCGTGGGTTCTTAGTTTCCTGGGAAGAAATGGGAATTCTGGAAGAGAACGCAGTATGGAGGGTACTATTATCTGCAAAGCTGTGGATGGGGCAAGTTGTTATAAGCTGTTCGTTGATTGAAATTTTTGTCAATAAGTTTTCGATGAAATCAGTGAGTATTTCGAATCAGATTCAGTGATTTTGCAATAAAATAACTTTCATTATTTCCAAAGATATATTCCTGAAATCTCTGAGTTGCTTTGATATTTGAATAGTTGTAGATGAAGTATAGTATTCCACTTGCGCATAATGACTATTATCCACTCAGATGATTACAGCACTTGCCTTCGGCTCGTACTGCAACTCTCATCTTCGTGGGTAAAAGCCATCATTATGGCATACTTAAATATCTTTAAGCTTTCATATGTTAAGTAAGTTAGTTAGTTAAGCAAGTTAATAAAGTTACAAAATTAGATGAAA